GGAGTCACATCACTCTACTTCAACTGGGTTCATTTTAGAAACAAAACTATCTGATCAATGAGTAGCTATGTATCCGCTTCCACCGTTTCCCAGTTTAAGACGCTTCAGGCAAGTGGGTTTCCTTTCACGAAAGATATAACGCTAATGGCCACCACCTTATCTTCAGATAGGTCGACAAATGTGTCGTTCCAGAAACTGCTACAAAGAATTGGTCCTCTGAAGTCAGTGACCACATATCCATATCAACGAATAAAGAAAACCTACTCAGTAGATTCCATATTTGTACGAAAAATGATACTTGGTGACAAACGTTATGTGTAGAGGGTACGGTGGATCAAAATAACACTCTACCTAATAAACTGGGACCCATACATACAGGAAGGTCCGTTGTCTAGTTCTCGTAGTACGTTCGTTTTTGGTCTGCTACAAAACTTAATTTGTCAGGAGCATATTAATAGCAAGAGCTGAGTTAGTGGCTATCCGTTTGTTCAACCCATCACTTTGGTCCCAACAGCGATTTGTTTAAGCACTTCAACTACCATGACCATGTAGTGAACACAATCCCATGATTTGAACTCACCAGTTCCATGACCCCTGGACCCTTTCGATTGACCCTGTGTCCCAAACAGGTGATAGTTAGCCTTGACTCTGTCCTAATCCCTAATGCGACACATCTCTATAACCATTCACCTACCACCGCAGTTTTTTTGCAAACCACACACAATTGACTAATTATATTCACCAATCTAATCCGCAAATACACTTCAAACACTATGCCAATGTGATATGCCTATTACCTATTTACATGACTGTATTATTCAGATGAGGAAATATCGAAAATGAGATTGTTGGCTATTTCATGTTTTCTCAAAAGCAGAATGATCATAGGTGAAGCTGAAACCTGTTTATTAGTGATCTGGACATTATTGGTACATCTCACAAAGGTTCACTCTTTGACCATACGGTGTATCTACCTGCGTGACTGTATACATTTGTCCGTGGTTGCCGATAGATCAATAAACGTCCGAAACACCTTTTATTGCCGATGGAGACAACTTGCCTGCGTGCATCAACTGGTCAAGGGTTTGTTTGCGTACTGGTTTTAGTCCTGTGTGTGTGTAAACATGTTTGTAATCAGGATAATCTGATGGAAGCGTATACTCCGGCTATACGCAATGTTGAAATGAATCCCTTAAATCCTGGGTATACTTTATTCATGTGTCTACAAATCACGGTGGGGAATATGTTACCCAATAATAATTGACCATCATTTTTGTAACACCAGTTCGTGCATTTTGCAATTAGAATTAGTTATTTTCACAGATGATGTTTGTCATTCTATCCGATGTTAGTTCAGGTTACCGGTTACGTTTTACCGATCATCTACCGCAAATTTGTATTTGAGATTCACGCTTCCGATCCGGGACGTTTATAAAGAATAACAATTTTGGTCACTGAATGGAGTGAGTATGGAATCAATAAGAACACAATGTAGGCGAAGTTGTTTTCCGTGAATTCCTTTTCAAGCCTCGATAATCACATCTATATGAAACAATTTCAATACGGTCAAACAGAAAACGTCGTTAAGACCATGACGGAACGACTATGGTTGTGTGATCCAAACAGCGCACACACTTGGAGTTCTCTTGGGCTCATTGCCAGACACATGACTCATCCACGTTTTCTGTTTGACCGTGTTGAAATTGTTTCATATAAATGTGATTCTTGAGGCTTGAAAAGAAATTCACGGAAAACATGTTCGCCTACATTGTGTTCCTAATCAATGGGCATATTCCGTGAGTCAAATCAATAATTCGCTGCTTTTTTGTTGTTGGAAGTAATAAAACGTGGAGACGGACCGACTTAACAGACTGAAAGCTAATTAAATCAAACATCTAGCTCCTGTCCATTGCTCTTCACTTATTTGTGCAATGAAGAAACGATATTCAATCAGACACACCTGGTTGTCCTCTAGGCTTTTCACTGCGTACATAAACAAAGGCAAACGAATGAAATCCGTTTCATGATATATAACAGTTTTAAGTCTGGTAGTCAGTTTGAAAAACTTACCGAAGGCTCTGTGCGTAACCGAATGCCCAGTTTGCCACACTGTTTTCGGATGATCATGGTTTTTGTGAGACCGCATGTCGGTCTGAAATATAGAAGGATGATGATGATGATGATCGTTCAGGGTATGGGAGAAATATTTTCCGCACTCAACTTACTCTATCATTCCATATATTTTACATATTTGGACAGCACACATCAACAACTGTTCCAAACACGCCTCTGGAATACTTACCGAGACTGATAGACAACACGCAACGACTGATCAGCGGATCGAATTCGGTTCAACAAATCATCCAGCTCCATTTGTTGCACGTCAGTCTGATTTACTCGTAGTACTTGGTCACCGACACGCAACCCGGCTTGGGATGCTGGAGATTCTGGTAAAATCATAGCTATATAGGTTATCTGAATGAGAGTTGAAAGAGATTAAGATAGCATCTTTATTTATGGGTATTGATGGGAAGCATGTAATGAATAAATGTAACCTGGCAGACTAAAATGACTGCGTAGATATTACTGAGATCTATCCATCTCATTTCAAACAAAACGGAAAAATTTCCTCTTCTTACGGAATGTTTTCGTAAATCAACATAGACTAATGAGCTGGTTGGTAGCAAATTCTGCTTCTAAGATATCTCACAGTGAACGATAATAAGTTGGAAATTTTTTTAGTAAAACTGAATGTATTTTGTTAACCAAATTCCGTAGAAAGCCCATTTGTAATCCCGCCAAAATCCTGTTCATCAACTGGTTGCTTTATGTTCTTGACCCTAAATAGCCCATTTATTATTACAAAAATACGTAGAGATGCTCTAGTGCGGAAGAACCCAAAGTTCCTGTTCGGGAACAGGAGTTTTCGTTCGCACTGCGTTGCGATCTGTTTTGTCTCATTAGGATCAATGAAAATAATCTCGTTGTGTGACTGTTAAACCAAGTTGGCGTGCACCAATTGCGGCATAGCTATAGTATGTTTAATTCCAACTGTTTTATACAGATAAATTGCCTAACGATATTCTCATCAATTAAGATCCACGAAACTGTTGATTTATTCTTTCTTGGCTCAGTTTCGTTTTTCGGCAATATAATCTACTGTTTATTAAGTACAGCATGATTGTATGCTATAAATGAGCTCGCATTGCGTACACTTCTCTCTATTACCCGGCATTCGAGAGCGCTAAACACTCGTTGATAAATCCTTTGGGTTAATTTAAACTCAGCTTAGCTATTTTCACCAAGTCATTGTTCAGTGGTGTGAACTCATTTTAAAGTGTGAAGTATGTTTACACCCCCTATTTGTAGAAAACCGTTGGTTGCAGGATTACTTTTAACGAGAACTATGTTTGTTTTGGAATAAAACCAGTAGCATAGGACAAATAAATGTAAATGCACGAAGTGAATCATTGAGTAGGTGTATGAGAGCGTATGAAAGCGTTTATAAAGACAATTCAGGTCAAGTCAAGTCAAGAGTGCACGTTATTCATCCAATGTGGACAGAATTTGCAGTGAAAAGAATATTATCACTTTTGCTTTGCAGACACGCTATTAAAAATCATTTCAGCATGAAAATTTACACCAGATTGTGTATAATTTCGTTTGATATTCGTTCCCCGGGAAACCAGCAAACGTGAAACGTAAGTTACAACGGAGTGGCGAAAAGCAGTGGTACGAGTACATGAAGGTTTAAATTTATTCCGAGTGACAGAAGTTGAAATTGAGCGAGATAGGACCGAGTGTAAGGGATGTAATTCATCGGACAAGGCAAGGTCACACAGACAATAATACGCCCTAAGGTGTTGTTCGAGAATGGAATCAATCAGCTCCTCATAAGATACGGCTCCCTATCTAGATATGCTTTTCAGAGAGCGTCTAATTAATATGAAATCCTTAGAAAGTAGACCGGGAAAGATAACGGGGGACCAGTAGGTCCAATGGCGTAAAATGCATGGAAAATAAATTTGGAGATCATGTACAATAGCACCCTCAGATGCCGAAGGCATGAAATATAAAAGGTCAACTTTCTGACTTTAAGACATGTTCGTTCTACGTAATAGGACCATTTGAGATCAGCAGACACGAAACATCCAAGATATTTCAAGTGTTTTGACCTCTCAACTTTCCAGTTTTGACTAAGATATTGAGAACAGATGATCCAGCGAGAGTTGATGGTCTACGATCAATGGAAAACAAACCTTCAATGCTTTTGTTTGGGTTTAATGTAAGGTTAACACCATCGAACCATTCAGAAATATCACCTATGGTTGATTGAAAGGGGTTCGGTAAAGGGTTGTTGTTTTGAGATGCACTACCATCTACTATGTCGTCAGCGTATTTAAATGTGAAACTATTCGGGGTGAATAGCAAGTTTTGAATATAAAAGGAGAACAGAAAAGGGGACAAAATTGCACCCTGCATTACACCCTGGTATACAGTAGCAGTGGAAGACCCAATACCCGAGACAAGTGAATTGGCATCCGTTGGTAAAATGGTTGTGCAACTCAAAAGATGTGGCGGTAGAATATGTTACCGTCATAGTGACAATAGAGCTAAACGTGTAGTCCAAGAAATAGACATGAACAATTTTGTGTTTTTGGTCATGTCCAACGATTTGTAGCAACTGTGACGAATATATTCATGGTGGTGCTTAAGGAAACTGAGACGCGTTTTTGACAAACTATACAAACATGATGAGACCCAACCAGGTAGGTACAGTGCTTTTTATTTTTTCACCTCACGCTTTTTATTCTAGGTATGAGATAAAAATTCACCATATACTTAAATGAAATTCTTCATCACTCTCATAAACATTATCGTTCATTAGACCCCGAATTTGAGAAGGCGGAAGACAAATTCGGAAGGAATATACTGCCGCCTGTATTTTACTCCACATTTAGGGCCAAACGGTACACAAAATAGGTATAATCATGTGATGTAAAACATTTTCTGTTAACCGAACCCCAAATGCGTATCCTTTATCGTAATCCTCAATATGTGCTAAACGGAGTACCGCCAAACAAAGTCTGATTTTTCTCTGGTCCACTCAAGGGGAAGGCTCACCTCATAGTTTCATTCAAAGATCAAATAACCTCCGGAGAAGAAATACAACCGAAAGAGTGAATTTTATTCTTTGGCGTTCTAAAAAATACAAGTAGCACTCGTAAGCCGCTGAAAGGGAACATTAAGCGGATTAATTCAACGACGGGCATGTAAGCTGCGCTTTCAAAGTCTCATCATCAATAACCATACAGAACACCGATACTATAAACGGAGACCGCCCCCATGTCTAATAATTACTATTAATGCTTTCTCACCATCCTGGTACCATCGTTCAGGAGCCTTCTTGAATAAACCATTCAAATTGTTCCACCGTCGCACTGTTTTCCGGTCGCCCTCCACCATCCTTCACCCCTAGCGTATTATAATTTGACTTTATCCTAGAGTGTGTGTGTTCTCAGTGCGTTTTACCCAAATACACGAATGGTGAAGCGGAACATCATTCACGTCAAAGGGATGCTTGTTATGACATCCGATATGCACGTGCAGGTCACACTGACAAGACGTGCGATGCACATGCGTCAGTGCTAATGATATGGAAGCTGTCTGTTCAAGACGAAATTGATAAACCTAAAAATATGATAACAATCACCTGGATAGAGTTCCATGCTGGCACATTTCGCATTAAGGGAACAATTACTTTTACACCGCAAATGTTATTTTCACCGAAGCACAGACAATCGGAGACCATATGACCTGGCGCATGGTAGCAATATACTCTGGGTGGCTATTATTTCACAACAATGCCCTGTCTGGATGGCAAGACTCCGCGCGCGGTGGCTAAGTCAAGGTGAGTTTGGGTTAGTCCGTTTTACTATACTCACCGTTAAGATACCAACTATTCCACGAGTCTTAATACTCTCAAATGGTCGGGAAAGGCAGAATTGAAGCAATGCATAGTATCTATTGAAACGTTGACAACATACACTTGGTTTGAAAGAGCGAAATGAGGAACAGCATTGAATAGCTAATATTTGTAAACAAATTGCAAAAGGATGTGCAAATCTCTGTCAGTATTGTTTGCCAATAAACTCATTTTTTGACAGATTTTGCTATGAGCCGCGTTACTTCGGATTATTATGTTTAGGGCGAGACTCTGTCATGTATTTTTCAGTCGAATCGGTATTGTAATATTATGAGTTCAGTCTGAATTGTAGTGTTTTCATGCATTTATGTGCAATCACTTTGCTAGTTTTAGTATAGATCATTTGCTGAGTTTTGTTTAACACAGAAATCAACGTGAAACACATATTGCTAACCTTTTCAGGACTTTCAGTTCGGTCCAGTTTCATTCCGAAACGTTGCTGTGGATAGCGTCGTTGCAGGGTGACTTCACGCATGCACTCTTTGCCGTTCGTCTGTAATCCCTGATCGTCAGTTCTGGTGGCACCTGACCCAGCCGCGTGTAAATCATTATGCACGACCGTGGCCGGGGAGGTGTCAACCAAGTGGCTGTCAAAATCCGAAAGCCTAGCTATCCGATTATCCGCGGTTAGCACGTATGGAGCGCTGGATTTCGAAAGCTTGAAAATTGTGGCCTCTAGACTATCGGTAGGACTGTAGACAGGACCCGTATGAGCACGGGGTGCTCTGTGCAAATTCTCAATTAGACCGATGCGTACATTCGAATCTAACGGGCTCTCTGTATCCCTTTGGTCCGATGACAGATGATTGTCTCCTTCAGATTCGCATGATTTTATCTGAATGGTAAAGAAACACAACACTTTATTGCACGCAAGATGAAAATCACATTTCCATGGTAAATGAATATACAGACTATATGTTTTAATTTACGGTTTGAACATTCATATAACTGATGCACGCAGATGGAAGGATGAATCAGATTATGAATCGGCAAGTCAAAAGACAAACAAGGTGAGAGGAATTCCTTTCGTATACTCGCATAGTTCGCGTAAGTAAAACATTCAGCAAGATAGAAAAATGAAGCTAATTAAGAAATCTAGTTAGTTCATGAGATGAATTCGTCGTTTAAATGAGGTGTGAGCTGAAAAGCTGAGATGCACTGGACAACTGCTTCTATCTAGTTACGTCTAATCAGCAGTGCGAATCCATCGACCCAACCGGGGATCCAACCCGGGACCTCACAGGTAGAACACAAGCATGCCAACCACTCGACCACCGGGCAGCTGATTGGACCGTTCTTCATTTGGAATATACACGAAAAACCACACCTCATCTATGCGAGCTTGTTGAGAGCATCGATCCTCGCTCATCTCGGCACCAGCCTTCAAGGTTAGGATTCGGTTGGAAACATTCACAACCAGATTAGTTATTGTATTATACAGTTAGGTATAATCGTGGGTTACAACCAGTGAAGGCCACGAAGAAAGGTCCTGCGCTTTTGGATATACAGCGTGGGTTTGTTGTGAGCGATCGATAAGAAATCAGACCGTAACCAGTATCCATTGGGTTACTAAAAGGATATCCACATTTCTTTACCATTCAGAGAGTAGTCAACGATGTAGCTAATCACACGGCTTATAAAAAACGCTATTCAAATATCTTGCTATTCTGCTACATCACATCTCCATCCGATAACACGGCTCCCCGTCCTCCACCCATTCAAAGGCCGTCATTCAATCGAGTCTATCTCTACTCGCATTTACGCCTTCTGTTGCAGCTGCAACGAAGTACACATTAGTAGAACCGACCGATCACTGGGAACTAGAATGATCAAACACATCCCCAACTACGTGTGTGGTTTTACGGCAGCCTATCCCATAGATTCTGACTGCATCACGTTGACCGACTTCGGACATCGCACACCACTTTGGTGAAAGTGGTCACAGGGTGGACCTTGTAGACGAGTTCTCGATTTTGTTATGTCATCGCGAGAAACACCAACATAGGATACTCGAGGGCTTGTAGATCGCTCACAGCAAACCTACGCTGTGTCCAAAAGCGTAGGACCTTGTCTCGTGGTCTTTCCTGGTTGTAACCAATCATGTGCATCACACACACACGCTGAACATAAACATACACGCACGCACACGAATAAACCTAACTCGAATTCTTTATACACTTCATTTGTTTATCTTGTTGAATGTTTTACGTATGCAAATGATGAGAGTATACGCAAGGAATTCCTCTCGCAGTGTTTGTCTTCTGACTTGCCTGTTCGAATTCCTTTGCGAGGTATAAATGGTTAACATCAGATTGTTACTAAAATTATTTTATATTTCATAACTATTTACTGCCATCCCGTCTGAATCATCTAGTGTTCAATCTTATTTGTGACACAAAGCAAAGGAAGGTGAATGTTTTCTTCCATTCATAAAACATCTTTTTCATGATTCAACGTCTGCTAAGGAGCGCTGCCCGATGAATGGGAGTGACTCGAACAGAACGCAATGTTCTTGGTTCACGTGAATTTGTAGTTCTACTGTAGGAAATTACAAAATTGGTTCTATCTTCTAAAATCTTTTACAGTTACTTTGTCTTTATCATTAGGCGTTTAGAGTCGGACTTAGTTCTGTGGAGAAGGATGAACAACTCATCGAATCAAGCTAAAGAAATCTACATTCTGTTGTACGACTTCGGCCTACTTGCAATTTCAGTACACATATTCTATTGATGTATCTGTGTCATTTTGAGCTAATAATTCCCAGTGTTTAACTATTAATTCGTAACTGAAACTTTGTTTCATAATTTTACAAGGCTCTAATTTATTGAGTTTCGCGTCAGAGACAATGCAGCATTTTTCTATATATATGAGGTTCAGAATTGTCAGATTAGTGTAATGGTCAGATGTAGTGAATTGAATGGTTGATTGTGATCTTGTGGTGTGCGGTTTGGTCTGTGCCCCAGGGTTGGCTGTGTCAGGTTGAGACCTGGGTAAGCCAAGTGACTGAATGAATCGTTTATGAGAACAAAGCAACGGATTGAGTAGCCGAATAGCCACAGCTACAGCTAGGCTACAGCATAGTTTCTTTGACGAACAGCTTTCGATGGGTATGCTGATACTTTGTAGATCACTTTGAATGCGTCATCGTTTGCTTGATGCCCAGTGTCTGTAAGGTGTTCTACCACTGCCCTCTCGTTTCCAAACCACACATCACAAGATCACAATCAAACATTCATATTCACCACATCTGACCATTACACTAATCTGACAATTTTGAACCTCATATATAACTGTATTAGCCCGAGGAAGAAGTTATCGAAAACAAACTTTGTTCGCTACTGTGTTTTCCTAATGTCGCGATGGTAATATTCAGNTTTGCGGTTCGGGACATAAGCAAACGTTTCGAGCAATTCTTTTCGGAATGCACGGCAGCCTGGAGCTGAGTGAAGAATATCAAACTCGCAAACATACCTCGAGAGGAGCACAACGCTGCGGTGTCTCTGACGAAATGGTTATCATTTCCGTCTGAAAACGTTAATTGGGTGGCGGGCTCGAAGTAGCACTTACTGTGGGTTTCTGTTACAAATGATCTCGTTTCCGTCAAACACTGAAATAGAGGCTTCACAAACATGTTCCTGTTACACAATTTGCATCATTAAGCGGCACATATAACCAATATTTCTATCGTTATTGTAAAAACAAGAAATGAAAATGATGAAAGGATTGGTAAAGCTAACTAATAACAGAACGATAGAATAGAATGAGCTTTGTCATAAGAGCTGGGTGATTCTGTAGGACAAAACACGTTATTTGGTTAAATCACGCTAGCGATTAAAGCTGACTAGAGCATATGCACACTTCGGGATTTCGGTTAGCTGGGCAGTATAGCTGACCTGATTTGCCTGGGCATGATTGAACGCACGTTTTTCAGGTAGACGTTGTTTAAATGATTTTCTGAGCTTTTTCCTCTCTGTCAGAGATACAGCATGGGAGACGGGATCTTATATTGCAATTTTAGCCGCATGGAGCTTTTGGATCATCCAATTCGGTCACTTTACACGTAGCCTGCTTAATAAAGTAGCTGGAAATCTATCTTTGAATTGGTAAACGCAGATCGATTTAACGGAAAGCGCAAATTATCTCCTGATAGTTTCATTGATATCTGATTGCTAATGGAGACAGTGTTCAAGCAAATAGATCAGTTGACGCATTTGCCCATGGGATACAATCCAAGAAAAATAATGGGTGTTGACGTTATCTTCAATGTATTGCAGTTGATGCAAAGCTTTTATGTGTGGAGCAATCGGTGAAATCTCTGCTCGGGTTCTAACTGATAAACTGCTAACGTAATATTCTGCCAAGTTCCCATCAGTATGGCATTTAATTCATCATTGTTACGGTCTCGTGTGCAAGGAGCACGTGATCTGTTCAACAGAACGCAAACTGACTGACTGCTGCATAGGTAATCGCAGCATAGTCTACAATAGGGGATTTCTCAGAAGCTGAATATTACTCTCCCTTCACCGAGGTATTAGCGACTTTGGAGTTACTTTTGATGTCGCGATGAAAGTGTTTTCTGCGTTCTCACTGGCACCATACGAACTCCCTACTTGATACGTACACTATTATTTATTTTTTTCAGTAACATAATTTTTGAGAGTTAGTCTCAGCTGGATTTCCATAGGTACCCGTTCTATTTTCCAAAACGGTCGTCCCTAAAATAAGGATTTTACTGATAAGGCATGTAGAAGAATTTGTTTTACTTTACCACTTAGTAACATGGTTTGTATTGTTCTTTCCATAATGCTTTTAATAAATCATTCCAACGATTTTTTACTTAGTCGGCCACTTAGCAAAAAAGAATAAAAGTTAAGCTGAGCATCTTTTTCCTTACATCTGGAAATGCTTAGCATGTTGCATTTTATCTATCATTTTAATTCCTGATCAGTGTTGGCAATTAATTCCTTTAAGTCCTTCAATCTCTCGCGACATTTTAGCTGTACCACGCGACTCCAGGAAGTCATACGTAAATATTATTATATGTTATTATTGTGCATGTATTAGCTTTTGACAGCGAGTCTTATTCGGATCGAAACGTCACAATAACCACAGTCATATTTCCTGTTTTATGATACAGTTCTGTAAAAAAACCGACTTGAAATAAACTCGACCGGATGGATATTGTGTAAGAGGCATGCACCAAACAATAATTCGATCGTTTACTCTTTTGTGATCGTTGTATTTTTGTGTTAAGCCTTCGACCAGACGTATGGAATGAATCAGTAGAAACGTTTGTGATAACGAAGATTTGTTTAGTCCATCGTGTTACGCTTAGCTCATCCTGATCAGATTCGGAATCCACCAAATGTACTGCGTACGAACAAGAAACAATCAGCCATGATAAGTATACAGCGGAAAAGTGATCCTTTGTGATATCTTTCCGGAGCATATAAAATAACTTGATCACACATTCTGTCTAGATATTTCCGTGATTGTAGATAAAATATGAGAATATAAAAATTTCACTTTATACGTGAGTTTATTTAAATAATCAATAGTCCTCATCATATTCAACATTCATCTCCCTGATTGGTTTGGGCCAATTTTAAGAAATACTTATTTCTAAAATTTCATTCCGTTGATTTAATTTGCGTTCGATCGAACAATTGGCTGTACTACCTGGAGCAGTTTTTTGACTGTCATTGTCACAAAACCTTCAGACTCCTTTCTAGTTCCCTGTGCTGACACTGCACCTGTAGTTTTATAAACAGGAAAACGACCCGGGGTGTTTTTGAGGAGAACGCATTAATGCCAGTGCTGTTGATTCAATTTGTCCTAAGGTAGCAGGTGATATATGAATGCTGGACAGGGCATATGTAAAATGTTGAAGTTTATTAACACGCAGCCGGTGTTACAGAGCGTTTTCGTCAGGAGCGCACCGTATTCCCCAACGGGCTACCAAGATTTTGCATGAAGGCTCACGCTAAACTAAGTAAATGTCGACGGTTGAAGAACTTCAGTCTAAGGATGTTTTTCACCGCCATTCTTAGTGTTCAAACGGAAAGACAGCTTACGCGACAGTGGTGCAATAAAATATCGATGATGTACTTTTAAGTCCTGTTTACAAGCTAAGATTTTTATATATGCTTGTGGTGATCTTAACTAAAAGGCTGGTAATACGTAGGTAAGAATAAAGAACATCTTTCAAAATCATCCAACATTTTTCCAACGTTACGAATTTGTGGTTGACCTAATTGGGAGATAATTCATCTTGACCCTATATTGGCTTCGGTTTTACTGAAGAATGATCACCATACTAAGAAAAGCGAAGCTATATTTTATCTAATTTGGTGAAGTTTTACCCATATTATGAGAAAGAGGGGAGCATTCCTCAAGCTATACGTGATTTCTGTTTACAAATGCACTAGCTTTTTTTCTGAACTTTTAACCGGAAAACTAAATTGACTGTATGTATTGTCTGTGCTAATAAATACATCGATACCATGTACTCAGAAAACGAAGGCAGTATTTTATTAAAGATCAACGCAATTCGAAAAGATTTCAAGCAGATAAATTGGGAGCAGTTCAGTGTATTTTTGTGCACAACTTTCCTCTTAGGTAATGCACAAAATAAGCTTTCTTTACTCCTTATTGAGACGTTCGGTAAACTAGTTCTTATGGTACAATTTGCTCCAGTGTAAAGTCGATTGATTTTTGCACTTGTATTACCCAGTCATTTAAATGATGGCTCGAACGATGCAGATACGTTTTTCAGTAGGGTGAAAAAGAAAAGTCAAGCAATTTATGTTGTTCTATTGAATTTGAACATTCAAAATTGTTCTGAATGAAGGGGAATCTATAAACGTCAGCTAAAACGATACATAGTTGACTGCAAACTCGCTTGTACAAAGAACACGTTGAAACTCTTGGCAACCCATTCAAAATCTTTTGAAAATTTGATATGAAGTTTAATAGTTTAATATTAGTTTAGTTTAATAGTTTAATAATATAGAAAAATAATAAATTCTATTACGTAATTTTTGTCCAGTGGAAAATATGTCGGTTTGATGAATTATTCCATGAGTATATAATTGATCTTCACTAACGCACCCACCTCCGGTTGACGATAAGCAACATTTTACCTGTAACATTATAGAATGTTTTTCCGAGGACAACTTCCAAACCAAGCTAGATGCCCATGCGTCATGATACTGTTCACCGATGGTTATGGCTTATTTTTGCGGCTTGCGTTTGACAGGCCACACCTAGCCAGGTCGACACATCCGCGCAGTTGCTGCTACGATAGATCATCGGCATATGTATTGAAACTGCTCTGCTTGATACTGAGGAGCTCAGAAATAAACTCTCAACGGGGATTAGATGAAACAGTAATCCGATTATGTTTATTGCATTTGTCGACAACGTTTCTTTCCGTAGGTATTTACTAAGTAAAATATGCTTTGCTCATTCTGTCTCGGTCAGCAGTTGTGTAGCCTATCCTCCCTTCTAAATTTCATTGTGTTCAAAATATGCTTGTAAGTTGCTGTGTGATGGGCCTGTGAGCAATTCTTTTTTCAGATCACTCGATGAGATTCCATGATCTCAAACATTTGCTTACGTTGATAATTGTCAGTCGGACTGATTGTCATTCGGCGAAGCCGGCAAATTCAAAATGTAACGGGGTACTATATATTCTAACTGTCAATTTGGATATGTTAGGTTGATTCCTTTTCTTTTTGACGAAACGTCAAACCGATTTTACAGCCCAGCACCAAAACACTGATAATTTCGCCCCGCGTCAACTATGGAACAAACACTCTACGTTCATGTGATATGTCACAAATGTGATATTCTCGTAGGACTGGGCTAGAAGATTATTATTTAGTCATGTTGACAAATCTCGAGGGTCGCAACTTGTGGACCGATTAATTTCCCTTGTCGAATGAATAACTGAGCACTTAGCGCTACTCCTATCCGACCGAAGCTTCTAAACTTCATATTTCCCTGTACTTTAGGCAACATCCGGTACTGCATTCCCTATTCGCACGAAGCTCGTTTTGATCGTATCAGAAATAGTTGTGCCAAGCAATCAAAGGCCACACTTCCGGTCATTGTTTAGCTCCTCGGTTCATTGATCAACCGGGAAGTTGGTGCAGTGTGAATGAATGCCTTGTTGACGAGCAAAACATGATTGTCTGTTTGCTTCTGTTCATCATAATAAGGGTGAACTCAAAATATGAGAACAAACTAATGATCCATCACAAACTTAGGCAACTAATAAACTCGATTATTGATGTTTCCTCTGCACTGCGCTAAACTTTGATCTAAATTTCGGGGTTAAACGTTAACCAAAGATGTAAGAAACTAAAAAGTAAAATTTACTCGGCAAGTCTATTATCACTTGTAATTTGTTTCTTATATTCCATACAGACCCTATCCAGCGGTACTGCTGAAATTATCTGAATCACTGATCACTTTTGGTTTCCATAATGGTTTGGATTCCGTTTATTAATAGGCAGATGAAACGGAGTGTTTATCGGGTAGTAAGTAATTATTTGCGGCTTCAGAATGGTGAGGGACGGATGTCTCAAGTCTAGGCTGGTTAAACATCTCTTACACATCGCGAAAGGCTCCCATACGACCAAACGTCTCAATTGAGGAAGCCTTACTCACTGTCATCCCCTGTGGCAGACATGATTTGCCATTAGGTCAAGAGCACGAACAGCCAAACTCCGAGTAGATGCACCAGTACCTTGAGGAGTTTGCTCATTCCAAACCAAACGAGAAGAGTTGTACGAACCACACCACACGCACACCTCATTGGTTTCGGTATTGTCAACCAGCTAGCCTGGGCATTGAGGCAGATTAAACAGTTTGATCATTGAACTCCGTCCAGAGGGCGTATGAACCGGTGAACGGGACACGGACAATATATGGATTGCTGCCTTCAATAACCGCCCCGATAAGCTGCGGATCGGGTTTCATGTGATAAAAGAGCCTGACTTTGTGTTTTCCCGACACATCACTCGTTTCGACCTGGGTAACCTAGCAGAGTCTCACCAACTAGCAAACCATGTACCTTTTCCTTCTTATAAGGATTTTCTCGACCTCAGTCTGAAATAAGACGTGCGTGAAATATATGCATACATAAATCTGAAAAAGTAATAATCACCCTACCACCGACTCGTTTCAGTGCTAAATAAACCGAAATGAACTTAAAAAGATTGTCAACTGCATATATTATAATGTGCCATGCATTTCTTCCTGATTTCATGTTTTTTATCCCCAAGAAGTCTTTATGATTTACATTTAATTATATGTCAACTTGGTTGGCTCATTTTAAAAGAACTATCAATCTTGGAAATTAATTGGATCAAAGTATCCCATCCACGTGTCTGCATCATCAAGAGACCTTATTGCTGGTAACAACAAATCCTCATAATTTATGATCACTTCTCTTATGATTACAGAAATACTGATGTATATAAGCCTTGTGGATGGTCAACGTTGGTTCATGTATAAACCTGATTACTTTGGCTGAAATGTTTTCAAACGCTGGTAATTGATATGTGCTTATGACTGTTCAGAGTGCATACTCCTAATTGCAAGTTAACTTAAACCGAATGTTAGTAAATGTGATGACATGCACACGTGGTGTCTAATTGATTTGCGGTTTGATCACATACGTTATCCAGATCCTAATATTTGAAATCTGAACATGGAATCTGACACTTTATTTTTAGGTGGGAAAGAAATAAACTGCTAAGCGATGCTGTAGTATCCCTATTCCGTTGAGAATGTTGGAGTCCACTTATCTGCACCTCAGAACTCAGGTCATCGTGGGTAAGCACATGTGCCGTGTTCGATTGAACCGTGCCTAATCATCGTATGATGCGTATTATGCACTTGATCACAGATGTCAACTTATATTCAAAAATTACACTCACCTCAGAAAATCTGCCTAAGTATGATGCACACTGACTGTGCCTCTGCTTTTCCGTGCGTACTGAGTGCACTCGTTCAAGTTGAGCTCCAGTACATGTTGAATATCCGCAAGGTTGACCGGGAAATGTGATTCGTTGTGGTCCGGAATGGACGCGCCCAACACGCACGGTTTGTGACGCCGGCCACTCCGAGGGAATAGATGTACAGTGGCATTTTTGATTCGTGGACTGGGAACAACGTCGGGTTGCGGATCGTTCAGTACGCCTCCAGTACCAGTTTCGTACGTCAGCCATTGGAGAGCACGGAGCGGACTGGGCGTCACCCGTCAGTCGAGTGGGGTGAACGCATTTTGTGGGAAGCATAGTGGATAGCCTTTTGTCGTTCTCTTTTGACAACATCTCATCATCCATTTGGCACTTTGTTTCCTCTTCCTATTGTGAATGTAACGGTAAACGAAAAAGTCGTGAGTAGAAAAATGTAGTGATTAACTGTTATTTATTACTGCACCTGTATTAGGCAGCAAATTCCGTTCACACATTAAAACTTTAGGAAGCTCAAGTGTATGCAAAGCACTTAGAAACCACTTTATTTGTTCATATATTTGGCTTGCCTGCAAGTTGAAACTTTGAGTACATAATACGGAGGACCAAAACGTTAACTCTATGCCATTAGGCTCATCACGTGAAACACAATTGTTCAGCTGGAGATGACAAATGTAAATATGTAGTTCAAATCATATCGATCGAATGGTACTTTGCGAGAGTTGAATGGACATTAATGTGAAATGTGGGTAATCTCGAATGCTACTGTAAAATAACACCAAAGATGTAAGTTCACCCATTGCTATCCCTGGAACTAAGCGGAGAACAATGGGGAACACTACAATTAAAGCAGTTCACAGTAAATATGTTAAAGCTTCAAGGTTACAACAAAGTGGTTGAATATTTGAAATTAAACATTATTTCAAGACTACCCACATATTTGGAATCACCATGCCTTATAACTCTTGCAGGCGTACTATTCTCTGTCGGCATATTAGCTGTGCCTGATGCTTTATTTCCCGTGAATTTTGTCGTGTCAACCTATCGTAAATGTCGATAGTCTGATTGCCCGACAGTCTCCAAGTGTCAGTAATCAATCATGTTACCTATATGCAATTTGCATCCCCTACGGTTACAAAGTCTTGTCGGTCAAAAGCAATCAAACTTTTTTGAATTTACGTAGTGGTTGTCAATCTGGTTCTATAATTTTCCTAATTTTCAAGGCAGTGCATCCAATTGAATTGGTCCGTGTTCAGTCCCATTCTTTATAATACAAAACCTACAGTTTAGAAAAGATTTAATTCCATCGATTCATCTTTTATCCTATGAGCTACCGCTTTCGATTAACAGATGCTTTGTCTGTTGGAAATGCCCTTATTCAAATGACGAACACAAGAACAGCAGAACAACAAGTTTATAAACATGAACGTTTGATTGAAACCAATATTAAGATAGAATGAAAACAGACTACCAAGCTGACACTGGGTTGCGCGTCTGCATCCATCTGTCTTGGTAGCGTAAAACCATGGAAGGTGCCCTTTCAAAAATGAATTTTATGGCAACGGTAATACTCGATTTTCAACGTGAATAAACATTGTCTGGATGTTTACGGTTGGTGGAAGTGAATTAGACACTCTTGTGCACAACAGTGTGAATTCAAATGACGTATTCCGCTGAGTAAAAATGCAGGCAGTATCTACAGCCTCATCACTTGTCATTCATCATCGTTCTTGATTGAAGGTTAAGGATATAGTACTCACAAGTTTCAAACCATCGAATAAAGTTACCGCATCGATTGCTCCTTTTGTTTGGGTAATTGAGAGCATTTTAACATACATATTTTCCGTGAATTCTTTTGGATGAAATGTAACAATGAATGGTTCAAGTTCCTTCTAAGGCAAATGATCCCATGTCAGGAATTATATTCGTTTCTGAGACCTGTTAGCAGCACGGTTCCCATAATCATCGGATCCTGCTAGAAATTATCGGAATTTCGTTCTAGGATCAAATAGACATTGCATGTGTCTGATGGTGACCTAGCGGTTTGATCGATTGGATTAGTACGTCAGCTGAACGCGACGATACTGTGCCTCATGTGCAGATGCAAGACGGAAAATAAGAACATTCAAAAATTATTGTTATCCTACACACTCTGCACGTTCTGTGGTCATTATGGAAACATATGCGTAGAGAATGTTTTGTGATATGTGCGGCCCCAGTTTTATTTCTTGTCAGAATTCTAGTTGCGCGCGACGATTTTTGTAAACAGTCTCAATATACCTGCATACCGTTTGACCGTGAACGTCAGGGGCTTTTATCAGAGACCTTACATTCAATAGTATTTGATTTATTTTGTTCATCGTCTAGAAATGTTAGGTGAGTTAAACATCTAACCACATTATCTGACGCAGGCGGAAGTGCTCAAGTATGCAATTTGACCAACTTGTAGCCCTCAAAATGTGATGCGTAAAATCGACCCTCGTAAGGGGAATCATTTTGAAGTTTCACTTAGCGAGAACCGAACAAAATGTTACCTCATTTAGCTTTGAAGTCATATTTAAAAAGAGAAAAGTTGGCCACGTTGATTTCAAAATAAAAGTATCAAACAACTAGGATCATCAAACGTTCCTTGAAACATTTATTTCTCTCGACGGGTTATGGTAGAGAACATGCACAGCAATCCTAAACATTGGAAAAACATTGATTTGCTAAACTTTCCAGGAAAGTTTAGTCATTGAATCCTCACAGAAAGCTCAACGCACTTAATGAAGAATCAAACCCATACAAAACTTAACATCAATCTAGTCGTCGTTTACTCAATATCCTTTTGCTCTGCTTTGAAAGCAGTTTTGAATAGTTCTTTAAATTGTTCCTCTTCTGACACAAAGGGATTTAAATAATTGTGAACTCCTTACATATATTGATTAACGAAATCCCCTATTCTGAAACGTTTCACGGAGCAAGTATCTTTCTTATCCATTTGTCCAACGTCCCAAGTAAGGCAGTGCATAAACAACAATAATAATAAATTGCAGGAGGGTCCTTCGAAAACTACCTTTTTCATTCATCCGTAAAACGATAGTCCCGACACGTGATCCCCACAAAGCGGAAATGCAACCGCATGGCTTGATAAACAACATCGTCGTTATGACGGTTCAATGAACCGCTGACAATCACGGCATTTGCATATTGATTTTCGTGAATGCTAGTGAGGAACTGTGGTATGACGATTTACGAATGTTTGACTGTATATCCCTGTGTATTGTCTCAATGACTTCTAGTTGTCCCCCCAAAAAGCAGTGGGGTAGTCCTTTGATCGCGCAACAGTTTTCTGGCTGGGAACAGAGTTGTCACGTTAATAACAATTGATTTTACACCAGATTGGGTTGTGGCGAGAACATTTTATTAAAAATTTACCTCCTAGTCCTCAGAGTAGTTTTTCTCTCTTTATCCTGATATACCTTCAGATGAAATTGATGATGACATTTGGTGTAAAATACCGAACAATGACATACTTCACCAATTGCTACTTGTCCGTTGCATCATGAAGTATTTCTTATTATATTCAGATAACATTGCAGCTTGCGAAATCTGGAATCATAAAGTATTGATAAATTCATAAGCTTTGCTCATTTGGTTCAACTCATTGTTATATCACTCTTTTTATTGGTCGCCAGGACGTGGGTGGGGTTGCCATGAGGAGATCATAGTTACATTTCACCTCCTAGTTTGAGCTCTATTGCATAAAGAAATCCCGAACTGTCCGCTACCAAGTTACTGAATTATCAAAACGGAAGTGCAACCACATATTTATTTTATTTGTTTTTTTTTTACTTAACACGATCCGAACAAACAATTTAAATAACTTATAGGTAAACTTAGTTACTTACTTATTTTAGCTATCTTAGGCAGTTTTAGGCTTAATGGCTAGCAACGTTTTCAAAGCATTAGACGTATTTTGAACGGCAATAGCTAAGGGATACCAGGCAGCGTCAGATAGTAATTCAGGTCTTGGGTGCGAACTTAGTCACCATCATTTGACATTTGCTGGATTTTTTTCAACCGAATCCACCTTCTGCTCTGCTCCCTTCCCAAAACATTCTGTATACATATGTACCCAATAGATGAGGTAGGAGAGAGAAAAACAAAACCAACACGCGAAAACGCGTATTTTGATTCTACTACGGGTATCCATAGATAGATATATTGAGGACGTTATCAAGTCAACATCCCTTAAGAACTTGTAGAGTAACTATATTCCAAAGCCATGCATATATGTATATCTATACTGTGACCTATGTCAAACGTTTTCTCACAAATTACCTCAAAGTATCAACGACTACAAAATGGGAAATTTTGCCAAACACGAGGAAGAATAACAAACGACAAGCAGAAGGTCAATACAATTTTGCGAATGTTTCATTCAGAACTGTACATTCATCCTTTATAATTTGGGCTTATAAGTGTGGTTTTATGGAACGACCAACAACCAGATTGGGGTGGCTCGTTAGACTAAAATATCAGGTTGGCCAACGGAGCACAGATTCTCAGTTTTATTATGGGGACGTCACCCGCAGCTTGTAATTTGCCGATTACACAATTCGGAATTAACACATAAATGAGAGTTATATTGGAAAAATTGCTAAAAGCACGGAAAAATTGATTAATTTGGTTTGGAACAAATCAGAACAATCACAAGAAAAACACGGGATGACAAAGAGGCTGTGCTCCTAAAAGAAGGAAAATGAGTGTCGAATTTGCCCAACGATCGTGGGTTTCTATATCGAAGGGTTTGAAGTACCTTCATAGGATGCTGCAAGATGACCATTCTCATGATATGGTATCAATCAATCTTTTCCTGACTCGGACAACATGATTAGTGATTGGTATTTTCTCCTCGCTTGACACTGGTTTTGTGCTAGAACGATGCAGATTATTCGAGAAAGGGTATGAAACATAATTGCGAATATTACGTTTTTTTAATTGTCGGTGTGCTGAGCTCATAGCCTTGAACGAGCATTTCAAAGGACAAAGCTGAGGATAAAATTCCGAGATACAAAGTATAGTAATGGTAGGCTCAAAGATACAAAATACTATAACGTTTTTAGTTCCGCATTTGTGAAAATGAAACATTTCAAATTGCAAAATTAGGTCTACATTTCGGACATCATTTATTTGTCGTTTTCATTGTCGGCAACATTTAAGCAATGTCGATAAATGTGAAGTTCGTGTTTGTCTACACAAATTGAGGGTGAAGATAACTAAATTATTAATTGGTGGAATGATAGAATTGAATGTGTTTGCTCGCCCAAAACAGTAACCCTGGTGAGATGCTATGGGGACTTAATGTTCTGTTGCGATGATAAATGCGCTGTTTTCCGATTTAAAATTTGAGGACTTGTGAAATGATTTGGGCATGCCCCTTCAGTCTGAAGCATGTTTATGTGAATGGACTTAGAAATACCAGGAAAAACGTAGCATGGGCTGGTAAATGTTTTGTGGATGGAATATCTACCGAATACGGAAAGAGGTATTTAGGGACTTAAATTACCTCTGTCACTTCGATGTTGTTGAGTAACCAGCCCCGTATCTTAAATCAAGAATGCGATAGCATGTGGCAAATTCTTATCAGTCACATTTCTTTTTAAATAGACTGTCATATGGTCCGCGCTGAGCTAACATATGTAAAGTATGCTAGTGGTAAATTGGTTTGAGGCTACCACCAATATTTTCCTAAATTATACTTTTTAAATATGAATACCGTACAGCAAAACATTTAATGTATGTGATGTGATATATGTTTCGACTGATTGATCATTAGTCTATGCCCATCTTTTATCACATCGAAGGATTGGAAGTGAAATCATAACCTGCATGGTTTATGGTATCACAATGCAGTTTGAATACTTGATGAACCCAGCCTTTGGGATAAATACGGGTATTGAAAAAATCGAAGACAGGTATTTATATAAGTTACCATTTATTTAATTTTACTCGTTGTTTCCATACTTCATGCATTTTAATATTGGTCGAGATCAGATTAGAAAACTATTCACAATCAGTCCAGGTTATTTCCGATGAATCGGTAGTTTCTACTGCCCTTTCTCGCGGTAGTTCGGGTAAAGCGCGAGAATCAGATTACCGATTGGTAATTGTTCAAAACGCGGCTAAGTCCTGTTCTGGTGAATCAAAATCTAAATTCATGAAGTGAGTGTATTGAGGATTTTACTGTCCCCACGTCAGACAACAAGCCAACAATAGAATGAACCTTTGGGCGAACTGAATAACCCTTGTGAGGCTTACCATCTTGAAACCTATATGGACTGTTTTATTGCCAAGAGCTAAAAGAGCCATGAGTAACATGCATAACTATAATTAAATCATTATTGAGATTCAGTTGTTTGAGCTGTGAGATTAGAGCGGAGGTCAATGGAGACTCCTTATGTTGAATCCGACATCAATAATAAAACTTATTTCTAAAATTCAAATGTATGCTGCCAAATTCTGACACCGTCGCATTAAGAGACTTTTTTGGCCAAGCAAACGATGATTTATTGAGCATACCTGTGTGCGTATCTGTGAACAACCTTGATATCTGACTTCTGACAAGGCCCATTGTGAGAACAATTTGGCAAGCAACATTCCATTTGAAGCCGAAGAATGTTTCTCCTCCAACCGAATTTTTGAAATAAGTTCCATAATTTTTTACAACGAATACGTCCAATTGCGTTTTAGTATTTTCATTATTATTTTCATTTTTTTCTAAAAATATTAGGACTGAGAGGACAACATTATTTAGGGTGTCTATTGATGATTTATCAATCTGAATTGCGTTTGCACAACACATTCATCGCCAGTTACTGCTTTTTTCTTTCTCCCTACGACCAGAGGTCAGCATTTGAGCTTACTTAGTTTTTTCATGAATCCGATCGCTCCATCTAAAATGAATTTTCGTGCAAATGATTGCAACGATGAGAAATCGGTTAAACCCTTTTCAGCAGGGAATTTCGTTACTCACCTCAGAGTGGATAAAACTCAGCGCACACACTTTCATGACCCAGGAGAATGATTTTCTTCTGTCAGTCACCGTTGATGTGTCGATACAGTTGTGAAGAAGAACGATCACTTTCCAAAATGGGCATATTTATCGCAGTCTGTCCTCATGAAATTCACACCCTTATTCTTCTTTGTTTGACTGACCTATTAAAAGGTCAATTGGTATGTGTATTTCCTGAGTAGATCACAAGTGACACAATTTCCGTGTCAATGTAGAGTCTGTTAGGAACAGATGGAACTATATCCCAAGGGTGATCTCAAGAGCAGATGCATATCTGAAAAGCATTTTTTTTTATTAGGTTACACATTTTTAGTCTGTGTTCACGTGGTGAACTAATCCATCCCCACCAACATCACCACCACTCAGTATCGGTGATTGTATTCTTCGTTGATTTTGTCTAACTGATACAGCAATGTGATTGGTTTCATAACAATGACAGCTTCCGTCAGAACAATAGAAAGCGTACTGAATCAGTGCAAGTTTACACACGGTTTATTAATCTGTATATTGTGAAATGCTTCTTCTGAATATTGTTTGCCTAATTTTCCCCACAACCAGTGTGTAAGATGCTGGATTCCTTTTTGTTATTTTTCCCTGTGCGCAAACACAACGAACTGACGAATTAATTCCCACTGTTTATTCAGGTTGGAGACGGATATGCAGATAATTAATTAGCATATTCAGAAATTTCCACCAGTATTGTGAACTTAGTGCAATTTCCACTGGTCGCATAAATAGTAATGTAGAATAAAAAGTATACAGTGGAGTAATCATATATCACGAATTATAGGGAACCGAAATTACCGTCAATTCTGTAAGAATCTACAGAAATGTTTATTTGTTACATGTTCGTGGATTAGAACAAAACCAAGACGGCATAAAACAAAATGGTTGCTTCTATCTAGCAGAAGCATTACTGCATGTCACACATCCGCGCTTTTACAGCTCCGGACCTGCAGGCAGAAAAGACTGCGTGTAAAGTAATTTCAAACTAGACCAAAGCGATCTGAAGGTGTTTGCGATTATCAAACTCGGAAAGGAAATGCAATTGATGATTCAGTAACTGTATACTCACCCTTTAAAATAACCCTTCAATCACATCGGTAAATAGTCTTTAGAAACCAAGAGTGTACAAAATGATTTTCATGTTTGGAATCGAAGAAGCTCTTCTGTCGGTGATATATTTATCTAGCCCAATTTGGATACATCTAAGAAAAGACAGGTGCTGACCGGATGCCTTTCCTTGTCCAGTTCATTGAATATACTGGTCTCTTATTGATGAATCGCGAGGGCTGCCTAACTTTGGACTGGATATTCGGTTACCTCCGGCTTATCAAACTGGAATATTTCAGCCATCTGTCTGCTATCCTTCAGTGGTTGATATGCTAGTTCTATCAAAAAATTGAGAGTGAAACTTATTTGTCGGTGATTTCAATCATGCAAGCATTTTCCCCTGCTTCCGTTTGGTCTGTCTGACCTTTCTCATTCTCCTACCAGAGATAGTTCTGTGCTGGACAGAGTGATCACAAACTATCCCAACTTATTCTCTCACAAACCAATGGCTCCGGTTCCTACCAGTGACCATAGTGTTCTTCTTGTTGGACCAAAGGTATACCCTCGCATTGCTTATCAAGCAGTCACACGTTCTCCTCAGATAAAATTTCATCTAAGACACTTTTCACCCAACCGTATCTCTCTTCTCAACCGTTCTATTTTGATCGTTCAGTCTTGGTTTGGTTCTTCTCCTTCGCTTTTTAAATCTATCCATCTGTTCACTGACACGATTAATTCAATCTTTAACTTGTGCTGTCCAGTGAAAACCTTTTTTGTCTGTAACGATAGAATCACCTCACCCTTTTTGAAATCACTGCGAAGGTACAAAGAACTGGCCTACAAATCTCGTCTTGCCTCACTTGTAAAGCACTATTCTG